AGTGACCAGTGTACACTGGGGAAAAGGAAGTTCCCAGTACTTCGCAGGATTAATAGACACTAGCTTTTCATTGATAACAATTTCTAATGACCCAAAGACCCGTGTGGACTAAGTGGAGATTATGGTTGACAGGTGACAGATGGATTCTGGTGGATCCTGTTGATCATGAATAACTCTGGTTGTTTTCTCAGTTCCTAACTATATAATTGGAGTGGGTATGTTAACAATTGGAAGAAATCTCATCACCAACTCACTGACCCATGTGTTAAGGACCGTTTTGGTAGGAGGGATAAGTTTAGTTCTCTAAGACTTCTACTGTATTCTAAGATTGTGAATTAGAAATAACACAGAAGCCCTGGGATAATTCAGATGCTAAGATCACAAAAAAAGATGTGAAAGAAGCAGGAATGGTGATATCTAATATATTGCCGTTTAACTTAACAATTTGGCCTGGGCAGAAGAAGTCAGATGGACTTTTTAAATGTGAATGATTATAAATATAATCAAGGGATAACTCAGTTGCTGCCCCAGATACACAATCTTTAGTGAAATAAATCAACACAGGTCCCTGGAAGTTGGCTTGCAGCTATTGACCTAATTCCTTTTTCTGCCTACACTTTTCAAGGACCACTGGGGATTTTATCTGGAAGGGTCAGTGGTACACTTTCACCATGTTACTTTGGAGTTACATCAATTTGCCTTCATTCTGTACTAATAAAATTCACAGAAATTGTGATCCTCTTGCTATTCCACAAAATACCACACTGCTTGACTACACTGACAAATTTTGCTAATTGGGGCTGTTAACTAGTAAGAAGTAATGACTCAGACACCTTTACATGTAAGACATGATATGAGTACCTGCTAAGACATACAATAAGACTACAGGATGAAGGCTGGACCACAAATATTCAGGTACTCGTTACTTCAGTGAAGTTTCTGGAAGTTCAGTGATGTCATGTATGTTATGATATCCCTTCCAAAGTTAAGGTGAGTCCCATACCATTTACCACAATGAATAGGCACAATACTTGAGAAATCTTTTTGGACATTATAGGAAATATATACATCACAATTGAGTGTTCAAGCTAATAAAAAAAAGATTAGATGACTAAGAATACAAACAACTTTGGGAATAAAGTTTTGACTCACTTTGCCAGGTGAATAACCTCAACTAATTGAAATTTGGTTGAGGATGAAGAAGATATGAAACAGGTGTTCTAATATGGATATTAAACCTTATATAGGTTACCACAGATTTTTTTTCTTTTTTTGTTTTTTTTAAAGACTTATTTATTTGAAAGAGTTACATAGGGAAAGGCAGATAGAGAGAGAGGTCTTCCATATAATGGTTCACTCCCCAATTGGCCACAATGGCCGGAGCTGCACCAATCCGAAGCCAGGAGTCAGGAGCTTCTTCCAGTTCTCCCACGTGGGTACAGGGGCCCAAGCACTTGGGCCATCTTCTACTGCTTTCCCAAGTCATAGCAGAGAGCTGGATCAGAAGTGGAGCAGCCAGGTCTTGAATCAGCATCCATACGGGATGCCAGCACTTCAGGCCAGGGCGTTAACCAGCTGTGCCACAGCGCCGGCCCCTACCATAGTTATTAAATATGGTAACCTTCACTCTGCAACTGGACAGATACTGGTATTTTTGGGTTCCACAGAAAGCTGTTCGTGAAAGCTTTCAATTATGCCAACCAAGACAATGGTAGCTTTGCATGTTTGCTTAATTTTTCATTTTTGACTTTATAAGTGATTGGGTATTAGCTTCACTTTGCAGCCTGTTAGTGGTAATATTTAAGGAAATTGGGACTAAATTTAAGGCATGATTAATACAAATATTAATGGTAATCTCAATAGTAACTATAACAACTTTGAGTCTCCTAATTTGGGAGAAAAGGTGAGAAATACAGTTGTAAGAAAAAAATAGCATCTTGTTAGGTAGAAATATTACTTCCTTCTGCATAGGAATTAGTATATTTACTAAAGTACATATACAAGCTGCATAGTAAAAGCAGTAGGCTTGGCTACTTAACTCTGAATTTACCCTTTTGCCTACTCTGTGGAAGTGGATCTGGGTCCTAATAAATATTTTTTCTTTTCCAGCATTCACAATGGTAAATTTTGCCAAATGAGAGGCAATGGAACAACAATGCAAGAGAGAAAGCACTTGCTTCTTGAAGCAGTGCACTTGCTCCCCAGTGCCCTGTAGTATGCACGGTTTCTTCACGGTCAGTCTGGCTGCTGCAGGAAATGCAGCTTCCCCAGCACCCAACTCTGGCAGTGAACCCAGATTCTCTACTTCTCACTTCCTGAAGTGCCTGGAAGTCAGCGCCCAAAGGCCTGTTGTATGTGATAGGCTTACAGTGGACTGATTATTGTATAATTTTTATTAATATAAAGAGAACATGCATTTATGTCATGCATTTTATGGGTACAATTCTAAGAAGATAACCATACTCTTCCTCCCTCCTTCTTTCCCTCTCTGAATCCCCTCCTTCCTTCTTTCCTTTCTTTTTTTGGTTTTTGCAAAAACATAATTTTAGGCCACTCTATAATCACAGGTTTAATGTGCTACTAACCATAATATTCAACAAGTTAAAAAAAAATAGGAAGACCACAGTTCCACACGAGTGTAAACAAGGGCTAAAAACAACAATCAAATATCAAGATGTCCATTTTGTTTCTATACATTTTTGTAGTCTACATTAACTACTGCGTATCAGAGAAAACATGATATTTGTCTTGGGACTGGCTTATTTCACTAAGCATATTGGTTTCCAGTTGCATCCATTTTGTTGCCAAAGACAGGATTCTAATGCGACACCTCCATATAACCAATTTTTCCTGATCTGCTGGATAGTAGCTGTCTGGCCACACCTGGGTTACACTGGTACAATGCCACAGAAGCTCTTTTGCCATCTGGTAAGGCACATCTATGCCCTCTCCAGCCAGGCCTTAAATTTGGTCTTCGGGGTTGGTGAGAAGTCAATACTGTTCCTTGGATGCTCTGTCTCAGCCATAGGCATTAACTCCTTATATCTGCAAATCCTGTATTCTTCAGAATTCTTTTTTATTTCTTACTAACTAATCCTTTATTTCAATGGCAATTATAATTAGTAATTTTTTAAAATAAATAAATAAAATAAGAAAAATTTATTTATTTGAAAGTCCGTGTTACAGGGGTTGGGGGAGAGAGAGAGAGAGAGAAAGATTGATCCTCCAACCACTGGTTCACTCCCCAGATGCTGCAATGGCCAGTGCTGGGCCAAGCTGAAGCTGGGAGCCAGGAGCTTCATCCAGGTCTCCTACGTGGGTAGCAGGAGCCCAAATGTTCGAGCCATCTTCTGCTGCTTTTCCCAGGCCATGCTTAGCAGGGAGCTGGATTGGAAGCATAGCAGCCGGGATACAAACCCATGCCCATACAGGATCCTGTTGCAGGATGGCAGCTTTACCTGCTGTGCCACAGTGCTGGCCCCATGATTAGTAATTCTTTGGAGGAAGCTTTACCTATTCAAATTAGCATGGTTTCTCTCTCCTTACTAGGTTTATGCTAATTTGAAAGGTGGTGATACTGAATGGTCAAGACAAAGTCTCTCTGGGTTTAAATCCAAGCTTTATCATTTGTTTGCTGAGTGGCCTTTAGCAATTTACTTAATCTGTATATATTTCAGTGCCCTTATCTATAAGAATGTGGATAGCTACAGCATTCCTTTCGCAGGTCTGTTATTCCTAGTAACTTACCTGAATACATTATTGTTATGCATTATCTGGTGTATATTATACTATTTGGTATATATTATGCATTGTCTGGCGGATAGCAATTACTTTGTAAGAAATAGCTGTGATGATTCTTGAGACATAGCAACATTTATGAGGCTTCTTGTAGTTCTCTAGGACGACATATTCCATGCATTAACATCTGCTGGTGGTAACTCCAGGATGCAGAGTCTGTGTCTCACTAATGCAGGATCTGTAAGCTTCTCTCTCTCCTCATCCATGCCAGGAAAGAAAGATTTTATTTCTGGTTTGCGGGACAGGGCAATCATTATAACTACCTCTTCCATGAAATTTTTTTTCTAAATACTTAAATGACATTTCCTCTTTCATCTCTTCTGTGCTATACTAAGTTATCCAGAGTGCTTAGGTTTTGTGGAATATAAGCCAAGGATAGCTTACATGTTGCCTTTAGCCTCTGCCCTACCAAATTAGGCAATGATTCAAGGTTTTCTCAAGTGCTTAAGTAGAAAAGGACAAAATATAAATAAAAGTGGGAAGAAAATAGCAAATATAGGTTAACACCAAATATTATGAATCAGTTATTGATTAATGGGTTAATACTTGTGATGATGAGGTATAGGTAATTTGAGATGCGATTCTTGTGCAAAATAAAGAGGTCTAGTTCAAATAAAATAAAAATTCTGAAGAAATAAAGAGACAGTCAAAGGAAAACTTAATGGAACTGTGTGTAAATTACTTCGAGAACTCAGAAAGAAGGGCCGTGATAATAAGGCAAGGATAAAATTCACTGTGAGAATTTTCATATACTTGTTTGCTGTGGTTTTAATATGATTTGTCCCCTTGAACTCATACAGGAGCTCATCTCCAGAGTCTTACGTTAATGATGCTCAGAGGTTGGAAATGTAATCCAGTATTGCTGTTTGGAGGTGGAGCCAGTGGGAAGTGATTAGGTTAGATTAGGTCGTTAGGGTGGGGCCCCCACAACT